AATAACGACAGTGGCAGACGTGGTGGGTACGTCGTCACTGCACTAAGTTGATGCAATATCATAATTCCCAGATCGACAGGCAGTGAAGTGAGTTCGGTTCGTAACCAACTAGTGAATACAGAGTTGGCTACGCGTTTACAATTACAAAATGCAAAGTGACATCGCCCAACCAACTCAAGAATCCTAGAGCTTAAAACTAACATCATTCAATCAAGAATCCCAAATTCGGCACTCAACCAAAGCGCATCCCGTGAGCAAAGAATGCAGGCAGACATATGGACCACAGCAACTTCACACGCTACAAAACTAAATGCACCACAAAAATCAATTTGCATACAACATCATTCAACTTTGCACACATGTAAAGTTGAATTTTACAAAGTCCGAGTCGAGGAATTCTTAGAATTTTGAATTGTATAATTTCCAAGTTTATATTAAAGAACTTTATCTAGTCAGATCTTTAGCGATAAGACTTTTTAATTTATGCGTGGAATCGAGATTGTCTTTCAGCTGATACTTTCAGAAGCTTCTATAGTTTCATCACCTATCAATTCTTCGTTTATGCAACAAAATCTTCCTAATTTTCTGAACGCCTAGTATCGCAAGCTGTCAATTCACATCCGTCGCTACGCCCACTCACTGTAAAGCACCAAAAGATCTAACCAGATAAAGATCTTTAATATAAACTTGAAAATCATACAATTCCGAATTCTAAAAGTTTCTCGACTCAAACTATGTAAAATTGAACTTTATATGTATGTAAAGTTCAAAATTCTGAAACTCCTCTACTCGAACTGCAGTTTCGAATATTTTGTTTCGTATTGAGTTCTGTTCGTCGTTTGTGGAAGTTTCGAACTTCTTTTCGAAAATATAATGTCGAAAACAAAATGTCATTCCACCCGCGCCCAAGTGTCAGCGCCCAAAGGTCTGGTAATCTAATATATCAAAATTTCATTGTCGTAATGCTTTCTTTAAGAGACGATAAACAAATGAATGGTGATTGTACCTTTGTATGGACAGCTAGTTTTCATAATCACAGTGAAAGTCATCCATGACTTTTACGATCCATTTCAAAATACTATGGCCCATGGCTATTTTTTGAATAACTTTTAAAATGAAACAATTTGGAGATCTACGCTGTTCCATACCGTGTAGCCAAGACCTATTGTCATCTTTTCTGTACCAGAAAGTTTTTGACGTCAGATCACTGCTTCGTCTATCATTGTTCAGCAGGTGATTCACATTTTCTAGATCCACCGATATAACCTTAGTACTACATAACCTTCAAAGTTAATAAAAGCATAGGTCAGTCACACTGAATCTCCTGACAATGTTTGTTTGCAGAAAAAAGTAGAAAAACCTAGTAAAACTCAGTTATACAAAAAGTAAAATTTTCAAGCTGTTTTCACTTATTTTCACATAACAATACAATAGTCTGATCCAAAATCAATTTGAATGACCAAAAACTACATGATTTACTGTATTTGAGCTGATCTATAGCCTCTTAATAATTATTTCCACATTGTTTATCGATAATAATTTTATAACCGAAAAGCTTAATTGTATGAGTTCAACAATCATTGTTGAACTCATACAATTAAGCTTTTCTCCTTGATAACGAAATTGGGTAAAACATTAAGAAAATCTCATGAGTTTTCAAAAGGCTTTACTGGAGAAGCTTTTTGGCAATTCATCACATTTGCACTAACTACGAATAAGCGGTTTTCAAAATATTTTGATACAGAAAAGTTATTCAAAGTATGCCAAGGAGCATTATAATTTGGCGGTGATAGTAGAATATTATATAAAAAGCTTATTAGCGTTGACCTGAAGATCTAAATGTGAAACTCCTCCCAACCAATGCATTTACATCTCTTAGATAAAGTATTAAAGCCATGTCTATGTCGGGTATGATTGAATAGTAGCGTCCTATTTATAGTCACATGCTATGCGACGTTTGCACATGTCACTTGGACGCGATTATACAGAGAGCCTCACCACTGTATTACTAATGAATCTGTCGAGTTCAGCCATTCCACTAACGAGAGAACCAACCCAAGTACCCAATCGCCTTTTGCTTAATACATACATGATTGTGGGTAATTTTTCATGCTGATCACGAATCTGATATCTGTTTCTGCTCCTAGGCCTTTCTGAGATGGGCCTCTGAAATCCCGGTGTCGGAAGACCTACAATGACTTCCAGCTAAACATAGTTTGGCACTGATAGATTGTGGAGCACGTTGACTTATCTATGTGGAAATGTTTCCAGAGCCAACCAACATTTTTTGCAGAGATAGAAAAATTTTATTTTCTAATCCCGTAGGCAACCAAAATATTCAGGTTTCTGAATCCTAAACTTTTTCTATCTCTGCAAAAAATTGTTGGTTGGTTCTAGAGATTTTTCCACATAGATAAGTCAACGTGCTCTACAACCTAGCAATGCCAAAATATGTTCCAAAATATGGAAATTCATAACGGGTCTTCGGACGCCGGACTTCCAGAGAGCTATCCTAGAAAGACCTAGCAGCAGAAACGGATATCAAATCCATGATCAACATCAAAAATTATTCACAATCACGTATGTTCTAAGGAAAAAGCGATTGCACACTTTGGATGGTTCCCTCGTAAGTCGCGTTCGTACTACGTCGTGTTTGTAGGCCATAACATGTCGCATTTCTATGTCGCTTTGTACGTTTCACTATGCCCCGTTTCTACGTATCACTAGATTATATTTGTACACTTCACCAGATCACATTCGCTTGTACTTCTACATGGTGATAACAGGACAGTCGGATCTTTAATCGAGTTATCCAGCGCCAGTTGAAGTCATATTTGATCATCATAGCCTAGCCGAATTTCGGACAGCGTGCTGTCCGAACGATACGTCCATAAAGCGGAGCAATGGAGTCGAGAGTAACTGAGTTCAACAAATAAAAAATATTCATCCTGACTTCATTTCCATCTAGGTTCATCGGTCGTTTAATTGCCATACTCATCTGCCAGAATGTGAAACTACATCTTTGGTTTCCAGTATTTTACTATAGAATCATAATGAATAAAACGTTGACATTAGATCTATCAGAACTGAAATATTTTGACGCTGAACATTACAGACAAGCAAAGCAAATCGATGAGGCAACCAGCTCAGCAATCGACCACTTATTAATCACACATTTCGTAAAACCAATAGAAAAACAAATGATACAACTGCAAATTGGATTTAATGAGGCAAATTATGTTCTATTTTCTTTTTTTACGCACTAGGGAACCTTTGGACATGTATACTTCCGTTTTCATCCATTTATACACCAATCGATAGAGGGTACCGAGGTTGTAAAAAGCCTAAAAGAATTCATCACCATGGCGCTTTCTCCAAAGTTATAGGCGCTTTTCCTAAGGAAATAGGCAAAAATTCAAAAATTGAGAGCTTAAAATTTTTTCTATGACTCTTCTATATATCTTTGATATCCACAAAAAGTTTAAGCTTTCCAGCTCGTTTCACTACCGCGTTATTGAACTTTTAAATTTTCCACGGAATCGACCTTCGATACGAGTATAATGAAATGGCCACAAAATCGTTAGTTCTTCAGAAAAATTGTTGAAATTTTCAGAATTTAAATGGTTTTCAGTTCCAAACACGTCAAATGTACTATAATAAGAATTTTTCTTTGCTAGGGACTATTCTGGAATCGCCGAAAATATGAATAATGCCTTCTATTATATTAATAATTATTTTGGAGTTTCATCTTTTGACTGACATTAAGCCTCACGAGAATATCTCAGCCAGTTTTCACTTCAAAACGTGAAGTATGTTTTCAACGTGTTCCGAATACGGAATCTTAAAAACAACAGTCAGTCAGGAATTGTAAGGACAACAGCAGGAGTACCGGCTCAGAAAACCTCAGATAAAAAGAAAATCACGAAGTTATCGAAGAAAAATGTCATTGGTCGCACGATCGTCTAGAATGTGCATGGTCGTTCAAACACCAGGATATCACTCGTCATATTGAGTCATGTGGTGCAAAGATAATGGCTTTTAATGTGAAACATACAATGTGACAACTATGAAATAGACGAAAAAACTAACGTATGACAGTTCAGAGTTATGATAAGTGTCAGCTAAACCCAGCTCTAATAGTTTGGAGTTGTTAATCTGAACGTAACTTTTAGTCTTCTGTGATCTACGATAGATGACCTTTCATCAAGCACCGAACTGAACATTTTTGTACCGTCTAACACATATACGGAAAAATTTTTGCTTTTGTTTTTTGCTTACTATTACCCTGGTTTTATAATCTTCACCATACATCCCCAATTGGGTATCATTATTTTATTTATTTTTACCCTTTCGGGACCGGTGACGTTTTAAAACGTCATTGAAATTTCACGTGATCTGACGCGTCAGAATTCTAATTTTTTTCGCGTCTCTTTGAAGTATACATTGCGTCTGCTTTTTTTACACTTTCGTGCTTCATCAGTTTCATTCTAAATATGGCTAGAGGGTTAGATGAATCTGGAAAAAATAAATCATTTTTGAAAAGTTGAAAAATTTGTAATTTTTGCTCAAAATAAGTTGGCTCTGAAAGGGTTAAGTGCCTAATGGGGTTTTGTAGAGAAAAGAAAGCTGCATCCAACCATAGGATTAACCATCGCGGAAAGTTAAAGCGTATCATACCCTCTCCTCTGTGGACAAGTATCGGGCCTTTCGAAACTCTCCCATTTCTACTAAGACAATTTCAATAAAATGCTATACCAGTTGTGGAAACCTATGCAGAAAAATGCGCTCTTTCACGCTGGCTATGTCAAAAAAATTTCGAAGCGGCGGCAGATTTGCCGTTCTACCCGGCGGTGTTGTCTTCTTTTTCGAAAAAATAATCCGGTCCCAAAAGGGTTAACCATTGATCTATTTATTCTTTCTTCATTTAAGCCGCTTTATTCTCTATTGTTTTTTATTCTTGCTTGTTCGAGAGGATTTTGTACTTTTTTTTTCTTGTTATTTTATAGTAAATTAAGATGATTCGATAGATTCTGAGTTAAACAGAATGGTGGTGCTGTTCTTTTGTTACAAATGAATGATGGTGCATAGTTGTCATTTTCATTATAATCAATACTAATTATATGAACTCCAAGATTTACGACTCTTTTATACTGTTCTTTATTGTATGCCAATATTCTCACAAGTTTCCCTTCCGATAAACTTTCATTTACTTGTCTCTCATTTTCAATAGAGAGAGGATTTCCAATGGAAACAATGGCTGAGTATGAACGATCTAAATGTGATTGTGCAATGAAAAAGAATCGATGTTCGAGATCAGGTGATGATGTTAAACATGGAATATTATCAGCTCGATTATGAGCATCATCCAAAAATACAGGAATTATTTTTCCAATAGATAATTCGAGTGGCAACCATCCATAACCATGATAATCATAATCATTTCTCATTTCATCTAATTTTTGTTGTTTTAATGCCTCAGTCACAGTCGAATAATTTCCTTGAATCTGATCAGGTAAAATTAAATTTGTAAATATATCGAGGAAATATTGTTTAACTAATTCTAAATGTTTACATTTAACACCAATTACACCCACTCTTAAATCTTCATAAATCATACTCTTAATTTCAATAAATAAATAAATTGTAAAATGTGTAGAATTTTCTCTAATCCATTTGAATATTTGTGTTAGACATTCTCTTAAACAATAGCATACTGTTTTATCATCAACTAATTGTAAATGATAAACAGCAAACTGATCATTTGAAGATAAAGTCAAATGAATATCTAATTCAAATTGTCTTATGCCGTGCGTCAGTTGATGCGTGAGAGACGATGTATAACTGTTGTGTGAACCATGTACTTGATAATGATTTAATCTTAATTTAGTCGATACATTCCAGAGATTAACTAGAGGTAAATCGAACGATTGATTATAAGGATGACATTGCCTGTTACTATATCTGATTTCGATAGCAAGAAACCATACGAATACGAATAAAAATATACCACTAATTAGATATAACAGAAGATGTGTTATCCAAATAATACATTTAACATAACCAATTGGTGAACCTTTTTTCTTCAATCCAATTGCAGTATACATTGTCTACTTAACTACTCTTTCATTTTTAAATTCAATCGAACAGAACCAAAAAAATGTTTTTAAAGTGAGTAAACAACATAATTCTTTTATTTTCAATTATTCACTTGAAATTTAATATTCAGGCATGCTATTATTTAATTGACAATAACAGAACAGAATAAGATTTGTGACAGAAAGAGAAATGATTCAAACATTATTCATTTCTTGTTGACACAGTGTAAGAAGTCAAAAGTTTCCAATAAATACGAGTGGGATACACTGACTATTAGTCTATTCCACAAGATATTCGTGTGTTGCACAATATATATACACATATATTACCAGACAGATGAGTCTCATAGCACAGGAAGATTTGTACAATTTCATAAATTATTTGTGTGTGTGTGTAGTAAATAAGAGTGTACATTCAATCATCGGTATGTAACAACAACAAATAAGGTATTATCATGGATTTTTGAAGGATGCTGAAATGAACGTGTGTTTTTTCTTTCGTATCCCAAGCAAACATTACCTATGGGAAAAAGCTAGATACATTTCATCTGTACATCGAGCGACGCAAGACTAGTTGTCATCTAGATTACTAGTTGGAAAAGGGACTTTTAACTAGATCAGCGTTTCCCAATTTATTTTAGCCATGGAACTCTTTCATAAAATTTAAAACTTTTTCGGAATCCCAGTAGTATTTTGACATAATATCATGCATAATACCTAATAATATGGAGCTACAAAAATATCGGAAATATCCGGCGTAATAGCTGACAATTGGATTCTCATGTCTGGAACTGTGTCAAGTCGATTTCGGTCGATTTCAAGTCGATTTTCGGTAAAATATTAAAATTAACTAACTAACTAAATATTAATATTAAAAATTTTAAATTTGTGACCGTTTTCACGAACTCAGATATAAGTTACAGAGAATGTTAAATTTACCGAGCAAGTTTATAAAGAGTGGGCCAGAAGTTCTGACTCGATTTGAATAATAAATTTTTCTATAGTGAAACAAGTGATTGTAAATTTGTCTCTATGAAGAAAAGATGCAATAAAAAACGCTCTACAAAATGACGATTGATCGACCCCGTTAGCTCATCTAGTAAGAAACTTATAGGCTTAGAAATGTGCTTCACAAAAAAGAAAAATCAACCGTGAATTCGGTCTATGTGGTGGTGCTTTCAGTAAAAGTCCCATAACTTCATCAAAA